CTGAAAATCTACTGGATTTCAGTGGTAGGAAGGCCAAACCAAGGCTAGCTCGGAGGCTCCAAGATATGGCTTAAAACAAAGCCAAACAAAGCATGCAAAGGGGGCTACACACCCCAAACAGCAAAATGACCTTAACCAAACTTAAAAAGCACTTAAAAACAAGACTTTTTTCAGTTATAAGAAAAGCCTAAATCAATATGCAAAGAGGGCTAAAGAAAGGTCCAATAAAGTGCAAAAATGGGGGAAATGCTCACCCTTGAAGATCCTCTTCGAAACCAACAATTTTAGGGGGTGGAAGGTTGCTTTCAGGCGTCAAGAAGACCTCCCAAGAAGCTTGGTTCAATGGTGGTGGTGTATATCTAGGTGTTGTAGTGTAAAAGTGCAAGGAAATCCAACTCCAAAGCACAAGACACAAACAATATATAGAGAAAAAGAGGTTTTTTCTTCCAAAGTTGCAGAACCTCTGGCAAAGAGGAAGCCCTCTTGCTTATATAGAGGAATGTAAAGCCAAAGCTTCTTCAAGAAGCTTTACAAGGGCTTCATCCCTCCATACACGTGTATGGAGGAGAGCAAACAAAAAACCAGCTGGCTCAAAAGATCTGGAGGAAAACCAGCTGAGACAGGGGGGGTGCCGGCAGGGCTTCACCAGTGGCCGGCAGGAGCAAATCAATGGCCGGCAGTTCCATGCCATGGCCGGCAGTGCACCAAAAGGGTCACTCTAAAAGGACCTAGCCAAGGTCCAAAAATGGGGCAGAAAGGATACAAGGTCCGGGAAGCTCGAACCGGTGACGTTTCGCCGCGACAGTCGAGTACACGGCGAGCAGTCGAACTAGTTGTTGGGTGTACCTACAAGCACAACCAAGTCCCGAGGACGGTCAAAAATTGGATGTCTACAAACAGCGATGGCAGAACTTGAAAGCTTGAAACAATGGAAGATTTGAAAAAGCTAGAGAGAAAGAAAGCTTCAGAGACGATGGAGAAAAGTGAGAAAATAAGGAAAGAAAAAGTTTTGTTAAAACTTGAAACGGCGGCAAAACATAATTAATGCACCTAAAACAACGTGAGCATCAGACGGCGCACACATGCGCGAGACGATTTAGAAGCACGTACCAAGAAGGATCCAGTAAGAGAAGGACACGTGGCTGAAATGGTCGACATTATGATGCATGACATCATACGCGTGAAGAAGCTCCTGGAATTCTTGATCTTTAAGAAGACATGTCGGCCTATAGTGATGAACTCGGCTTAAGTCGATGTACTAGCAGAAAGTACCGATATAGGTTCCATCACCTCAGAATGCCGAAGTAATAGAACCTAGGGGGCAGTTGTGGGGATATATTTCCTGAGTCCCAACACGTGGCCAAGGTGACGACGATGTGTCAGCCGAGGTGCCACGTGTCCAGGTTATGACGCCGAGATGATCTCAGTGAAACCGAGGTAATCTCTGAAGATATCGGAATCCGAGATAAACGGATAAGGGACAAGAGTCCTAGAATAAGGAGGGAACTCAGCCTGGATAAGGATAAAGCTCTTAGGGAGTTTATCTTTATCTATTGAAGAGTCCAGGATAAGCACTGAGCAAGAGTCCATTGAATCTAGGCTTCTAGTGGGACAAGGATTGAGTTAACTATAAAAGAAGGGCACCCCCGATGGGTCTAAGGTACGCAATTTATATTCTGAACAGTGAGTTTAGCACTATTGATTATCTTTGAAAGATATACTGACTTGATCGTCGGAGTGCCCCCGGGTGGACGAACCACCGCCGGAATCTTTTCTTTCTGTTGCAGGTCAGCCAGGTGTCATCTTTTCTGCCAGTACTCTCCAGCTGAATAACTAAGTTGGCAGTGTGGTCGAAAAATCACTCACACACATATTATTACATTGCACTCTCCCGAAGAAGAGTCTGAATGAATAATCTAGCTAATTAACTAACTAATTAAGCTAAGCTAATTAAGCTAATTATTACAAAATCGAATGAATAACTAGCTAATTTACTTAACTAACTATTACAAATGAAATGAATTAACTAACTATTCTAGTTAACTAATTAATTATAAAATGAAATTTGAATAAATAATTAACTAACTAATTAATTACAAAATGAAATTTGAATAAATAATTAACTAACTAATTAATTACAACATTTTACAAAATTAACTAGCTACAACGAATTAATTACAGTAAGATTAATTACATTCGATAAAATGCGTAAGTGAAAATGGATGAAGGTTGCATGCACAATGCCTGAGAGCTACTCTGTCTGCCCATGCCGCCTTTGTTTCACCTTCAGCCATTGCCTCTGTTTCCTGTAAAACTGCACTGTTGGCCACACACTGAGGGCCGGCCGTGCATCACTGATGACCGGTCGGGCCTACAGATGGCTGGCCGTGCATCAATTTGGTGCAAAACTCCGTTTTTGTGTTTTGAGGTGAATCAGTGAAGATAGAGTGTCCTCAAGCTCTGTTTGTCCCTTTCTTCCTCCTCTGTCATGGGAAAGCCTCGAGAGAAGGTTGGAATTGATTCCAAAGCCATCAATGAGCAAATTGATTGCTTGATGGTCTTGGATGCAATTTTGGCCAAAAATCAATGAAATGCAGCGAATGAGACCACCCCTCTCTTTTGTCATGGAATAAACTCAAAGAGGGAGGTTGCGACGCTTCAAGAATCATCAAAATGCCATGAATTAGCATGTGACAACTCTTGACACAAGGAACTTGGCATAACGTTCAGCCAAGTTCAAGCAATTCCAGCCATTTTCTTTATGTGCGTTGATCCAATTTTAAACCAATTTGTTTAGTTATTGTCATTCATTAGTCCATGGTGATTAAGTCCTCTAAAAGGAGAGAAGCGTCAAATGGGAAGTAATTCTCAACATGAAAGAGAGATTACACCATTGACAATGAATCTCCTTAGAGATTAAACCATTAAGCGCAAAACTCTAGTTTATGTATTGAATAACCATCAACCACTTGAAACAACTCTCAAATGAAATAAAGGAGTGGCAAGTTGATTATTATAGTGAGGTTATTAAACATAGAAATGAGTTGAAGAAGAGCTAGAACAACATGCAACAAGCTATACAAGTAAACTTAGGAGACAATAAATGAACTAATCAAAGCTTGAAGTAATTAAATAAATTAGGACAGCCCTAAAACAACCCCTAAAGTGCAAAAAAACAGTAGTTAAGACCAAGAGAAAGTAAGTAAAAAGAGTAGAGAAAAACTCATGGAACAAAGCCTAAGGAGGGGTGGCTAACCCCTCACTTTTTGCAATTTTAAATCACATGTTTCAGCCTCAAAACAGTCCAAAAACAGTGGCTAAAAATGTGTTTAAAGAGCACAAAAAGATAAGCAAAAGCAAGAGATATAAAGCTAGTAAGCAAAATCAAGGAAAGGTGGCTAACCCCTCAACTTTTCAAACTTTTAAATCATGTTTTTCAGCCTTTACAAACTGTGAAAATCAATATATAAAGACAAGAAAAATAGTGGAAAAGAGTAGAAGAAGATGAAAGAAGAAAGTGCAAAATTATACCTTTGAAAGAGAGGTAAGCTCTTAGTTAATAAACTCAATTCCAACACCCTTAAGTTTATGAAACTTAGTTTAAAATCTCAAAAAAACTTCAAAAACAAGCTCCAATGGTGTATGTATTATGTATGTATAGTTAAAAGGTGATATGAAGTTTGGAAGGGAGATGGATGTTCTTGGCTCTCAAAAACCTTCAAAGCTTTTGGAAATATTTCCTAACCCTCTAGGTTATGAAAATATGTTGTAAATTCTCTACAAGAAAGCTTCAAATCCAAGCTTTAATGGTGTATGGAGGGTGAAAGTTGATTTGGAGAAGAAAAGAGGCTTGAAGGTTCAAGGAGGTTCAAGGATGGCTCATCAATATCTAAGCCTCTTGGAAAGTTTTTTCTAACCTTAAAATCTGAAGTGGGAGGTCCTATTTATAGAATTTGAGCTAATTTGGTCCAAAAAATATCTTCAAACAAAGATATTTGTTAATTCCCGCCAGTTGTCTGTTTGGCGCCATCGAGGCCCGGCCGGCCCTCAAAACCCACGGTCGGGCCTCAATAATGCATGGTCAGCCCAAAAAAGAGCTCTAGAAAAATTTTCACTAAAGCTCGGCCGGTTCTACATAGACCTGGCCGGGTCTACGTAGACCTGGCCGGGTCTCAATGACTGCACTTCAGGCCCGACTTCAAACGAGCATATCTCCCTCATCCGGACTCGATTTTAGCTGATTCTTGAGTCTAAATTGAAACCTTGGAAGTCTACTTTCCAATGGTGGTGGCCTTATAACTAAAGTCTAAGTGTGCAAAGAGATAGGCCTGGTTTGTGAAGGTTGCTCAGTTCTTTCTCAATGGTTTGATGCTCACCTTTCTTAACTGGTTTTCTTCCAACCCCTTCTATTTTCTTTAACTCCAAACCTATAAATAAGAAGTTTTAAAAGATTTTTTAAAGAGTTCACTTCTCTTCCATTCATTTCCACTTTGTCCCTACTCAGTTTACCTAAAAGTGCAATGTTTTTAAACAAAATGCGAGCCTCAGACATCATAGAAGCATTTGGAAAAATATTTTGAAAAGAGGTTTTAAGGTCTAAAATAGTTTGGCTAAAATGGGATGCAAGCTTTGAGATTAGAGCTTGAATCCAAATTTCTTCGCTGAGAATTCAAAAGATTACACAATGTAATTTTCATCATCGGGTGTTTGGAATAAAGCGCCCAAGTTTTAAGGGCGGTAAAAAATGAGGTGTCTACACACATAAAAATGAAAGATATACACTTTAGCTTCTAAGGATAAGAAGCCACATAAGAATAGTGATACCATATAAATTTATAATCAATGCACGTTTGTCTAACCAAGTCATATGTATCAAAGTCCCCATATAGCTAATCTGCAACAGCACGAAAGAGGTAGTTCTCATCCTCCAGCATTCGTTTGACTTCTAACCCTTGTGCCTTTTTTATATCAATCCCAAATTGGCATTCTCTCTCCTCAAACAAAAGCAATCAGCCAATTTTATAATACTAAATTTTGATGAAAACCATGGACTTAGTAAATAAGCAAGATGAGTTAGGATAGAAAGTCCGATCATAAAGTAGAAGTAAAACATCAAGTTCATTACAAAGTTAAAAACCTGTATTTACCTATGATGCTTAGATACGATAGGGAAGCAATACATTTTTTTAATCTTATCACGACTTGTAAAATTCATTGAATCATTTTATTTTGTTTTTTAAAAAAAAAAAAATTAAGGGTACTTGAATTTCATATGCAATTGATATGCCATATTTAAATGTTCAACTAGAGAAGGATAACTCAAGTCTACAATATTAGTAATTAAGGAACACCTTCTTGCTGAAGTAACTGATTGAAAAAAAAAAAAAAGTAGTTACAATCCAAGAAAATATGAATTGCAAAATGGGCATGGCCAAGTGATTCCAATAAAACCATGAAGGGCATGGCCAAGTGATTCCACATGAAGAACTGTTTGGGACCCACCTTGAATATTAGTGCTGCAAAAATATCCACGAATTGTTATTAAGATATCAAACATATCAAAGCCATTGGATTCAGATCACAAATTTTTAAAACAAAAGGATTTTAATACCTTAGTGAATACCAAAGATAGTCACTTTTGTCAGCTGTAGTATTATCGTTCAATGATTGACGCATGAATTGTGGAATTGTAGCCACAGAAATAATCTGTCACATAAAAATAACAAATTAACTTATCTTGTTATTGAAATAAATATAAATTCATATTTTATAGCCCCATATTTATTAAAAGGGAAATTTGGTTGTGAATTTTTTTAAAATAAAGAGAACATATAAGTTAGCAGTTACGGTATGAAATGAAGTTCCATGAAGATACTGCATCATCTGCTTGTGACCAAATTTCTAGCTCTTTATACAAATGCAATAAATTCAAAATAATTTCTAGCTGTTTTGACACGGTTGAAGTTAAGATTTCTATCTAAAAAATGGCTAACCAAACAAGCTTTCCACTTTTCAATGTTTTCCCGAGGTGGGAGATCAACAACAATGTCAGTATTGCTAGCAGGTGGAAAATACCTTTGTTTCACAGCAGATCTCTGATTTGTAGCTACCACCGAGGCCCAGGTCTTCTTCTCCAGCACAACTGGGTTCGCCACTGGGATAGAGTTGGCAGCATCATTACCCTTCCCTTGCTCGCTTTGATTTACCAAGAACCCAGTTTGTTGCCTAACACCTCTTCCACCCCTTCCACCTCGTATCCCCTGTTGTAGACCAATAAGTCCACCCATCTGAGGGAAAACATTTCTCATCCCCAGATCTTCTCGATGACTCGAACTCCTTGCCTTAGGGCTCACCCTATCCATGCCCATTTCAAGATCTGAAAGCTTCTAAGACGTTATGTCCTCATATACAATCTCTGATTCATCCAGATTGGAAACCACATTCCTAGCCCTAGCTATAATCAAGCTATCAGGTAAATCCTAAATCGGTTGATAACAGTTTCCTCACTACCCTCTTTATCGGACCATCTCGATTTTAACAAGTTTAGTGCAGCTGCCGGTGTCGAAATTTCCTTTTAAAAGAAAGGGGTTAAGTCTTCACGATTCACACCTAAAACAGTGGATTTCCTCATGTTGAGTTTCTTTCTAACGCTATGTTTGGAGCTTAGGAGAGAAAAGAAAAGAAAGGATTATTTAATTTCGGAGAGAAAAGAAAAGAAATAATTATTTAAGTAATAAGAGAAAAGAAAAGAAAAAAAATGATTGTGATTTCTTTCCTTTTTGTTTGGATAAGGAAGAAGTAAAAGAAAAGAAATGATTGTGATTTCTCTCATTCTTGTTTGGTTAGATTTCATTAAGAGAAAAGAAAAGAAATTATTTTATATTATATTATCAAAATAACCTTTTTATATTTTCAATCATTTTATTTCTTTTATTTTTATAGGGACAAAATTGATATTATGAAAATAATGGTTTCTTTTCTCTCCCAATCTCTCCACTTTTGGGAAGATTGAAAATGAGGCTTATAAGAGAAATGAGTTTCTCTCCATTTCTCTCTATTTCTTCCCATTTCTCTCTACTTAAGTTATCCAAACAAATAAGAGAAATACATATCACTCTATTTCTTTTCTTTTCTCTCCAAATCACTCAATCCAAACATAGTGTAAAAGCTTCCATAGACTCAGCAAAAGAACTAGGGTTCGTGATTGTCTTTCCAGATTGACCACAACTGATGGGCGATTCAGCTTTCATACCCCCGAAACCCTAATCAAACAGGTTCCTCACTATCCTTCCTTTTTTTTGTTTTTAAATTTTTTTGATGTTTGACACTCCAAATTTTTATTTTGGCGTTATTTATTTATTTTTTGGCCGTATCTTTCACAACAGCAATTGCATGTGTTGTGGAAAGTGTAATATTTTAAACGGCTTGCTTTTCGTGTATCGTGAAAAGTATAATTTTTAACGACTAACTTTTTGTACGTCGTGAAATGTTTAATATTTTTAACAGCTGGTGTACGCTTGTCGTGTATAGTTGATGTATTAACGGCAAGCCATATGCACGTCGTAGAAAATTTTATTATTTACAGTTAACATTGCAAGCCGTAAAAAAATCATTGTTATTAGTATTTACAACCTACGCAATAGACACGTCGTGATTGGAAAATTATTTACGACATGCAAAAAAAACAAGTCGTAAGAGTGAGAAACCACGGCTTGGATTTACTATATATCGTTGATGTGAAGTCGTAAAACCTCAGTTTTGTTGTAGTCTCTAAATAGATAAATAATTTTCAATAAAGATATACTTTCCTACATTTCAAAATAGGAGTGATAATTCATATCCAACTCCACTACCATCATCATCACCATTCTAATTTCATAAAACCAACATTAATTCCATTTTCTCTTTACAAAATCAAATATTCACAATTTAGGGCAAAACCCCCTTTCTTTAAAAATCAACTCCAAGAATAAAAGTACATCATTTTATCACAACTCAACCACATTTACAATCCCACAATCATTTCCAAGAAACCATTTTGAAAACCCTATTTTTTTATTTCAAAGCCAAAACGTAGGTTTTATCCAAAAATTCTCAAATCACAATCTTGCCTAGAAAAGCAAATAACTAAGTTAAAAACCATACAAAAGTGTGGAGAAATTCCTACATCAAAGTAGAAGACACGAATAGAGGATGGGTAGAATTGGATGGTAACAAAAACACTAGATGCTCCGATCAAAACGAAGCCCTCGACGTGCTCTATCTTTTACTCCAAAAGGCGATGGCTGAGAAACCACCAGATCGAAGTGTATTTGAGGTTGAAAGATGGTTTCTAGAGAGAGAGAGATAAGATTTGAGGTATTGAAATGTTTAGAGAGAGAGAGAGAAATAAAAAAAATTGACTCAAAAAGTGACTTTTCGGAACTGATATACGCGCAGACTGCTCGAGCAACCAAAACATCGCTCGAGCGACCAGACACAAAAACAGAGACCGCTCAAGCGAAGAACACCACACTCCTAGTACTTTTGCAGGCTTGCAAAAGTACTGCGAGTTCTAAAACACTGCTCGAATGCAAAAAAGACTGCTCGAGCGAGCTCGAGCGCAAGAAACATCGCTCGAGCGAAGAATGCCATACTCCTAGTAGTTTTGTAGACCTGCAAAAGTACTGGAAGTTCTCAAAGTTCGCTCGAGCGAACAAACCAAAATCTGGACAGCAAAAGTTTTGAAAAACTAACTCCCAATTTGTTTCAAATGCAACCAAGACACTCCAATAACTAAACTCAACAAGGAATGAGACAAAAGAAGACATGAACAACCATCAAGACAAAGAATCAAGGATCTAAAACAATGAACGGGTCAGGTTTAAACCAGAATTGTTATAGAAAATCTCCTTCAACGAATAAGATGATGGTCAGATAAGTTAACTCAAGGGCTTGACGGTTTGTTTTCAAATCAAATAGTGGAATCTTCTCCAAGTAGCGTGAAAAAAACGACGAAACGTAAGACCATGACTTCAAAGCTTAGTATTCTCAAATCAAATTTATAGAATTTTCTCCAATTTAATAAAAGAGGACAATAAATTTATAGGGTTTCATGATGAACTTTGACTTGAATCTCTAAATTTTAAGTATGATAGAGATTGATAAAGTTTCGTCAAGAATAATTGTCATGAAATCAAAGGCTTAGGAAACAAAAGTTCTTCGGCGTTTTAGAATTTTAATTCGATAGGGTTTTCTCTCTACTTGATTTATGTATAGATAATTGAATGTAAAAACATTTAGAGATCATCTATTTGTGGGGGGACGAAAGTATTGTTAGCCTTCAACTTTTTTTTATTTTATTTTTTATTTATAATTATCTCTTATTTATTTATAGATAAATACAAAAATATCAATTTAATAGTGTATTATAATATTATTAGTTTGATCATCTCAATGTGACAATTGACTTAATTGGATTAGCCAAATGCTTATTTATTAAGAACTACATCACTTTAGCCTGTAGAATTATTTAATTTGACCACCATGTAATTTTGACTTGAGACCAATTAGACATATATTAATATTTAGTTTGTCAATAGTTGTGTTTTATTTTTTTAGCTCTTTGTTGTATATAACAATTTGCAATTGATTGAAATTTTGCATGTTTTTATCTGTTAGACTTATTATTGTATTTATTGACATGGAAAGGTTGTAAAGTTAAATACAAACTATAAAGATAAAAGGAAAATTTAAAAAGTGGGTGAATTGAACACAATCTTTTTGAGAACTTAGAGCTTTGTCTATTTGTCAAGTTTTTCTGACTTAGGCATCGGAGAGGTTTCCGGCACACACCCGCCGGCTAGCTCACGTTTGTGTTTTCAGGTGACAAAGCGACGTCGTACGGAGGAGCGTGGACTTGGTCAACAGGATTATACGAGGAGAATTATTTCTTCCCCGTACAATATATAACAATTTGCAATTGATTGAAATTTTGCATGTTTTTATCTGTTAGACTTATTATTGTATTTATTGACATGGAAAAGTTGTAAAGTTAAATACAAACTATAAAGATAAAAGGAAAGTTTAAAAAGTGGGTGTTGGTTATGATTGGTTACCACCTATTGTGTTGGTTATAATTTAATTACGATCTATTATGATTATTATTTTGATTATAATTGAAGAGATCTTTAGTTATGTATAAAGTGATGTTTGATCATGCCTGAAGTTCGTTATGATTCATCATGATCTCTTTAGTTATATGATTAAAAGTAATTTGATTTTTTTTTTTAATGGTGAAAGTAATTTGATTATAACACAAAATTATATCAACATTACAAAATATTATAATTTGTATATAGTAGACTCTTTCTTCTTCTTTTTTTTAGAGTGAATATAGTAGACTCTTTTTTAAAAGCATGTCTTTTAAAATGGGAGATCAGGAGACTTATTTAGTAATACCTCACACTAAATTCTTAAAGCCATAAGGACATGCATTCAAATTTACTCTTGTTTTTATTATGTGCTAATTTTTTTTTTAAATCTCATAACATGAGTTTTGCAAATCTATTTTTAATAAAATTGATATATGTAGATTCTTATTTATTTATTTATTTATTTTTTTGAGATCTTTTAAACAACATCAGTATTAAGTAATAAATAAATAAAATAAAATAATTCATCAATCAATCAAAATAGTAAGAGCTCGAAACCACCTTCGACAATTTCAAATGTGTAAATCTTGAAAAAAATACACTAAAAAAATCGTCCAAAACGGACTACCGAACGTAAAGCAATGCATGTTAAAGTTTTAACACCGTAAATATTTAAGTTTCATTGTACTACCTATCCAAATTATGAAGATAAACAAATTAAAATAATTTGAACAAATAATTAAAATTACAATAGATTAATTAAAATAATTTGGACGTATAGGTTAAAACAATAGGGAGATGGGTTAAAATAATTTGGACAGATATGTTCAAAAAAAATTACAGAAATGCTAAAAATATTGGCATATATAAGTTAAAATAAATTGGACAGTTAGGTTCAAATATGGGCACAAATAGGTTCAAAAATTTGCACAGATAGCTAAAAATATTGGCATACTTAGCTTAAATTAATTTTTATAGATATGTTAAAATAATTTGGATAGATAAGTTAAAAATATTGGACAAATATGTTAAAATAATTTAGAATATAGGTTCAAATATGGAGACAGATAGGTTAAAAAAATTTACATAGACAGGTAAAAATATTGGCATACATAGGTTAAAATAATTTGGGAAAATAGGTTAAAATAATTTGGATAGATAGGTTAAAAATATAAGGACAAACAAACTCAAAAAAAATTGCAAATATTGGCATACATGAGTTAAAATAATTTGTACTTAAAATACTTTAGGCAGCTAAGTTTTAAAATTATTGGAACAAATATGTTAAAATAATTTGGTTAGATAAGTTCAAAATAGGTTTAAAAATTTGCATATATAAGTACAAATATTAACATTCATAGGTTAAAATAAGACAAATAGATATCTGAAGGTGTAAAAAAAGTTCATTTACGATGTTAAGACTTTAATAGGTCATATATTTATGTTCAGTAATCCGTTTTGAACGATATTTTATTTTATTTTTTATTCCACATTTTTTTTTTTTTCAAGATCTAT